GACTTTAAACTCTACCCGGTACTCTGGTTAGTAACTAACACACATGCCTTCGTTGCTCTCAGGGGCAGGGGCCATATTTTAACTCATCCTTGTCTCCCAAAGGTCTTCTACCTGTTCAATAATTACCACCCAGGAAAATAAAACAAAACCCAAGGTTGAGTTTCAGCCCCAAGCCAGAGGTTCCTCTTCTCTCAAAATAGAAATCAAAATTTTCCTGACTCAAGCAGAATGTGTTCCAAGCCTACGTTCTCCTGCTCCAGGTACTCCCAACCAGAACACCCTGGGAAAACAGAACAAAATCAGTATTTCCTATAACTGAATGCCTCATCAGACACAATAAAGCCGCGTTCTTAGTCCAACCAAACGCAGCCACTGTCCACACCCAAGAAGACCCTGTCTGAGCCCATCTGCCATCTGAATATCAAGCCTTCTTTCCAGGAGATCAACAGACAGACTCGAGAACTCCAGACACTGGAGGGCGTCTGCACTCTGAGCTGGCAATCTGGTTTCAGATCAAAGCCACTGAGTCTGGATACACCACATTCTCAAGACCTCAGGGGCGGGCTGGGTGCCCGCACAGGGGGCGGGCGAGCACGGTGGCGTCGCTGACTCAACCAGGAAACAGATGTGGGTGTGGAGGCAGCACCTCACTGGCAGAATGCTCCTTTGCCCCATCGCAGAGAGGAGGTAGGCTCTGCCTAGCATTGAGACATTATGGGATTTTTAGGTTTTTAGTCAGGAGCTGGTATTTTTCCCAGAATGTACAGGAGCAGAAAGAGCCCTGGGCCGAAGAAACAAAAGGTGTGGTTTATAGTCTGTGCTTTGCCCCAATTAGCTCTGTGTCTTAAGTTAAGTCCCTTTTCCTCTTTGAGCCAGCCTCACTGTTTATATCTCTAACGTGGAATACCTAAGATAGATGTTAATACCCAATCCGGCATATATCCAATTAATACAAAGTTATAAATCAACTTGAAATTAGGGAAAATAAAAGTTACGAGGTTCACACCAGAAAAGGTTAGGATGCAGGACCCTACAGTTACTAAATTCAAGCCACAAATTTGGCTTTGTGCTTCCTGGCAGCCAAAGCAAAAAGAGAAACATGATCAGCTATAAATTTCCAATTGTCCAAAGGAAAATCATTCCAGTTCCTGGGAAGAGGCAAAGCTTTTCCTGGAAACTGATTCTGAAAGAACTTTCTCCAACTCACTTTTTAAAGTTGCAGCTTTAAAAAGTAAATCCTTATATGAAACGTAGTATCAGCTTATATATAGCTCCTTCAGACAGTGTACCTCCATGGAAGCAAAGGGCAGACACTCACCACAGGGAAACCATTCCGAAGGGCAGAGAGAGATGCCCCAGTGAATAGCTCTCAGCTATTCAATCCAAGGATAAAAGAAAGAATGGCCAGAGGAGCAAGTAGATAACATTTCCTTCCCCAAACTTCTATAAATATTATTTCTTCCATATGGATACTTATTTACAGTTGTGCATTTCTAACTTCCATTCCAGTTCTGCGAGATCTAAGTGACATTTTTAGTCTTCATTTACACTAATTTAAGATTCTGTGGATGAAAAGTAGTTCTCTGGAAAGGAACCTTACAGGGTGATCTCATCATAAATTCCTAACAGGTCATGGTGGGTAGTCACACCTCAGACATACTTTTTTTTTATAGTAAAAGGGTTTATCTTTGACCGGCAGGTATGGCTCAGTGGTTAAGCAGTGACCCATGCACCAAGAGGTTGCCAGTTCAATTCCCAGTCAGAGCACATGCCCAGGTTGTGGACCTGATCCCCAGCAGGGGGCGTGCAGGAGGCGGCCAATCGATGTTCTCTCTCATCAATCAAAGTTTCTATCTCTCCCCCTCTCCCTTCCCCTTTCGATAAAATCAATAGAGAGAAAAAAATTTTTTTTTAAAAACCAAAAAGGTTTATTTTTGCCTTAAGCATGCCCTGTCCATTGTTCTTGAGCATCTAGGTTAACATACCTTTTAAATCACCACCCTCAAGAGGGCACATAAACTTAACTGCCCTGTAACCCAATCCCAGCCTTGCTTTCTCCCACCCAATCTTCCTTACATTGGCTCAAATAAAAAAATTCCCTACAGGTTTACAGGTTCTTTTGCTGACAATTTGGTAGTTTTCACTTCTTAATGCCCATTCCCATATCAATGGATTGGGAATTCCTGCCAAAGAGAGGGAGAATCTAACTATTAATATTGGTGGTGTCACTAAGAGCTGACACCAAGTGCCCAAGTGCCAGGCTCTGAGCCTGGTCTCTACACATGCTCTCCTTTAGTCCTCCTGTCAGTTCCCTGTGACAGCAACTATTATTAGTCCCATTTTATAAATAAGGAGCAGGTATTTAGAGGATTTTAGCAAACTGCCCAAGATCACAGAGCTAACTATTCAGATTTTCTGGTTCCAAAGCTCAGGATTTTAACCATACTTATAGAGCCTCCTAGTATTGATGAAATGTGATTACTGGTAGAAATGCTTGTGTTGTTTTCCCTCTTGAGAATAAAGCATCAGTTCCTACTCTTAGAAACTCAGCTTTGGCTCTTCAGTCTCTCCTTCCTTCCTTCCAACAACAGACAGATATGTTATCCAGGGCTACTCCACGCCAGAGAGCAAGACAGATGCTCTGGAGCTTCCAATCTAGCCAGCAAGTAGACCATGTATTTCCAGATGGTATTCCAGTTCTTGGAAAAAATTAAATTAAGGGGGTTTATGAGAGGCAGGGAGGGGAGGAGCTGTTCTAGATAATTGGTCAGGGAGGGGCTCTCTGAGACCCAAGTGGGAGAAGCCAATCATGCAAAAATTTGGATGAAAGGCATTCTGGAAAGAGGAACTACCAGTAGTAAAGGCCCAAGGACAAAAACAAACCTTCCTCGTTTTAGAAACCTCTCGGTGCACCTGGTCTGGAGCAGACCAGGTGCGGCCTGGCAGGCAATGAGGAGGAAGGCAGGGGAGAGGGCAGGGCCCTCAGGGGAAGGAGTTGGATTATGACTGAAGGGCAATGGGAAGCCACTAGAAAGCTGTTAACGGGAGCAGCATAATCCAATTTACTTTTACACTGCTCCCCGCCCGCCCCCCCATGTTCTCAGCGCCCAGGGAAATTCAAGTAGGTTTGGTTCTTTAAGATGAAGGTAAAGTACCATCACCTTTTATTTTGTTAATTATAACATCTCTGAAAACTATCAACTCTCAAAAATACCTTTAGCCTGCAGGCCCTGGCGTTCCATCACTGAAGGCTCAAGTTAAAAAAGATGCTTCCTTTTCCAGAGCTTAATACCCCCTCATGCTAAGAATGCAATTGTCAGGGCACCCACTGCTTTGGTCCACAGACCCTAGGGAAATGCCAAGACACTAGACAAAGGAAACTGATCTGATCCTCCACTGAATGCACCTGAACGTCTCTTCCCTCTGCTTTTCCTATCCTAGGATATCCTATCCGTTGCCATCCTTTTGTTGCTTTCTTTTTTCCAGAGGCTCAAAACTAAACATTCTGTGTGAGCTGCTTGATCCAAACTGAGCATTACCAAAGTTAATTTCAACAATCCTACCATTAGTAATCCCATATAAGGCATACCTTTGGCTGAAAGGACCACAGTTCAGTTTGAATTTGGAGAATTCAGCTCTTTTTGAAGCTAATATGCAGCTTTGAGTCAAGGAAATTTCTTTTACCAACACATGAATGCATCAGATTTGTGTGTTTGTGCTTGAAGGCAGAGACAGACAGAGGTAACGGCATCAGAAACAGGCTGACGAACAAATCCACATGCAGACAGGAGCCCACAGGAGCAGAGCTGAGCTGTCACCACAGGAAAGAACCAGGGCTGAAGTAGGCAAGGAGGTGGGGAACTGTGCCTCTTATTAACAACTGTTGACAGACAAGCTTTTGACACTCCTGCCCCGCCCCCTAAGCACTTCCAAACAAAAATAAAATCATCGGCCTGCCCCTCTCCCAGGCTACACAGCTAGGAATACCAAGATATTAAACAGTTAACCTCTTCTTCTGGCCATCTGTTAACATCCAAGGCACAAGGTTTATGTTGCAAACTCAAAACCATTAAAATAGCGATCTTCACACAATCTGTGAATAGTACAGCTAAGTCATCCGCACTACACATGACCCCAATCCCGCGCACCTTAAAACATTCAGGGGCACAGAACAGTGAACAGCAACCCTCAAATGGGGTGGGTGGGGTTAGGAGGGAAGGGGCGTCTATCTCTTATGGCCAAGCTTCATGACAGCTGACACGGAACACACGTACACTGCAAAGCCTAGGCCACTGTGACTAGCAGATGAGTCTGCATAGTGTGGGTCATATACCTGACTGAGGCTTTGCATACTTCACCTCCAAGTTAATACCTTTCATTGTTCATTGCCTGCAATTCCCACTAGCTCAGGGTTTCTTATCAACCACCTGCATCACAATCTCACGGCCCATTTATTAAAAATGTGCCCCACTGAGAATAAACATCTCCAGAGTGGACTGGCAAACTGTATTTTTAAACACTCCCCAAACACACATTAAGTGTAAGAACCTCTACCCTACAGCAATGTCTCTTCAACTGTGGGCTATGAGCTATTTGGTCAAGAAGTCAAATGAATGGGTCATGACCAGCAGTTGTTGTGTTTAATCAAGTAGACAAAAATTATAAATAGAGTACACCACAGGTATTAAGGACAAATGTTTCCTGGAACTTACTGCAGTTTGGGACCTCTGTGCAGGGATGTAAAATGTATTCCTTACTGGGGATGCCACTCTAAGTCTGAAAACTGCTCTCATAGAGGGAAGAAGGAAAATAGTCTTCTGTGTATGATGTTTAATTTTATATTTTCCACCACTAATCCCAAGCTTCTTGATTTCAGTTCAAGCACAAGATATCAAGACAGATCCCAGTAATGCTGTTATCAAATCCTAAACTGATAAGGCAAAACCAAACTGAGGGGGATGAACCCAAAGCCCCTTTCTACTCCTACATGAAACCCTTACCATTGAGCTGGACAAGGGACAGTGTCAAAAGGAAGCTTGCACAACTCTCCTCAGGCTGGACCTGTTCCTCGATAAAAAACAAAACAAACAAAAAAAAACCCTTGTAGCCACTCATATCACAGTCCAGAAGAATTAACATATTCCTCACCAGGGCAGACTTGCCTCAGGATTAAGTGCCCAAGCAGTGAAGGAAAGGCTGGGCAGAACTCGCATTCCGGTCTGGCCCACATGTGAAGCCCTGTGGCAGTGATTAGGTCAAAGGAAGGCCAGGGAAGGTTGAATCCAATCCCACTGATTACAAGGCCAAATTCTCAGAATCAAGAGCACTGCAGAGCATCAACCATCTGAGGTCAAGTCCCACCCCAAGCCAGTGGCATGTTTACCTTGGGCAAGTTGCTTAATTTCTCGACCCCCCCCCCCCCCCAGGTCCCTTGCACCACTAGCTTTCTGTGAGCAAGTGGGATCCAGGGTGGCAGTTCCTTCTCTGGCCCAGTGCTCTAGGATGGGGGCCCCATGTTGCACGTCTTGCTGGACCAGAAGAGAAAAAGGGAGGAAGGGCAAGGAAAAAGGATGAGAAGCTAGGTGTCTTGTTAGCCTTCAGACTCACAAGAAGCCAGGGCTCCTTGAAAAGAGCCTCAAGACTCCAGGAGAGCATATCGGAACAGCAGGCCAGAAAGCAACCCTCCCCAGCAAAACCCTGAAGCAGTTTCACGTGCCATTCACAGCAGCCACTGCAGAACAGAGAGAAACGAAGGACACTCACTCACTCAGCTTTTTAAGTAATTGTAAACTGAGAGTGAAGTCGGAGGTGGCAGTCTCCTGGGCTGGGTCCAAAAGAACAGGTGGTTTCCCCAGCTCCCAACGGGAGAAAGGCCACTACGTGGGTAAAGACACCCAGAGGAGGTCAGCGGCCACGGAGGGTGAACTTGAAGCAGGGAGAGGCCGGGCTGCCCCGCAGCGCCAGCCCTGGGAGGTACTCGCTGCAGAGGCCCCTACATTCCGCCCGGCAGGAGCGAACTCGCGCCCACCCCCTTGGCAAGGACGCTGGGGAGGCGCCGGGAAGCAGCCAGGCAGGAACTCGGCTGCGGTCACTTCGCCCGGGGCTGGCGAGCGCTCCCGGGAGTTTCGAGGGCGGCCAGCCCCACAGGAGGGGGCCCCCAAGGGCGGCGCTCCAGGACCCACTGTCTCCAGCAGACGGCCAGCGTCACCCGGGACAGAAAACAGCCGAAGTCCCCGCGCTGGCCCCCCCGGAGTCCGAACCCACGGAACTAGGCTAAGGAAGAAGCAGCGACCGCGTCTCCAGGTCCCCTCGGCCAAATCGCACACCCCAGACTTGCTTAGTTCCCCGAACAGGTCCCGGACCCGAGGACCCCACGCCATCTCGGCTCCCTCCGCGGGACACCGCCGGCCCGGCAGTGTTTGTAAACAAACCGGTCACGTGGCCCCGGCGGCCAGCTCCCCGCCCCCTGCGCCCGCGGCCCCCACGGAGACCCCAAGCCCGACTCTACCTCGGCCGGGCTGGGCAGAGGGCGCCGCGCCCCGCGCGGTCGGGCTGGAGGGGCCACCGGACCGGTGCCCAGTGCTGGGTGCCCGGCGCTCGCGCTGACAGCGCGCCCCATGCCCAAGCGCGCCTGGCCTGCGCCGCGCTCCCGGTCTGCTTACCCGGCAGCAGGCTGCCCCGTCCGGCCAGCGCCGGGCTTGGCTCCGCGGGGATGCGCCGCAGCAAAAGACCGCCCGGCTGACTCCCGGGCTCCGGGCGCTCTCTTAAAGCCACAGTCTCCTCCACTGCCGCCGCCACCACTCCGCATCCCTCCGGGTCGGGCCGGGGGCTGCCCTGTGACGGACGCGCCCCCGCGCCTATCCCCTCCGCTCAGCACATAGCAACACGTCGCGGGTTGGCTCGGCACGGCCGCAGCCATCCACCCCGAGCCAATCAGCGAAGGACGGAACTCCGCCCCCCGCTTCCCCTACCCTCCACTCCCCCACCCCTCGGCCCTGGCGGGGCTTGGGTGCGGGGAGCGCTGTGAGAGTCGGGTCTGGCCCCGCGAGGCTCCGGCAGCCGAACCTGGCTACACAAGGCGACTGGCCCGAGGAACGGGGAGAAAGGATGATGAGGATGGGAGAGCTCTCAGCGCCTGGGAGGAGACCTTTTATTTGGGTTTGGGATTTGTCCCCAGGTCAACACTGGGATTCCCAGAACATGGGATAGGGAGGTTGTATAGTGCTTCTGCTTGGAAGTCCAAGACAGTAACTCTCTCCTTACACCGTAGCCGTCCCTAACCCAGAGCCCCAGTTACCTGAGGAGGCCCTCAGATTCCCGGGCGCGGAATTTAATAAGATAATGCCAGCCCAACCCGGCCCCACCAGGCCCTACTCAGAAGCAAGGCAGTTCCCATCTTCTCTTGCTCTGCTAGAAACTTAGGGGAGCTCAGAGTGGAAAGGAGGCTTTAGGGAAATTGGACGGCGTTCAGCTCTGTATTTCTGCTGCTTTTCCAAAGGCTTTAGAGAAGGAGGGTAGATAACAGGTTGGTCAGTGACCAGAGGGGAGGAGTCCACATTCTGGGTCAGTGGGGTGGTGCTTTTCAAGGAACTGAAGGTTAAAAAATAAACCCAGGGCAGTCAGGAAATTCAGGGAGGCACCAGGTGGGTGGAGTGGGGCAGCTTCCCAGCAGGAAAACAGGTCAGTTTGAAAAAGAGTGCTGGCAGAGGTAAGGGGAAGAGAGCAGCCCAGCCTTTTCACTTGGCCACTGAGGCTCCTGCAATTCCTCAAAGACCAGAAATGAGAATGGGACTGGAGTGGATCCCCTGGTGGCTCAAACTTCATCCACAGCTCCACCCAGCTGTCTTTAAAAGATATTTGATTTAGTTAACATACATTGCATTCAAATTGTATTCAGTTACTATAAGTTGCATGGTTGGGTGTGAATCCAGTCCGAATGTTAGTAAAAACTACAAAACTACCTCAAATACATCACTGTCGTACAAGTGTATCAGGCTCAAATTTGCAGTTGCAGCAAAAGTAGGAGCACCATGTTTCTGTTCACAGTGGTCTAACTTCAAAAGTCTAAATTGGGGTGGTGGGGGGAGGCTTTTGAGATAAGAAAGAATCATGAAAAAAGAAAGGTTTAACACTTAAATCCTTAACTAAGAATGTGTGATGGATACTTTAGATTATCAAGAGCTTGATTTCTAGCCTTGGGTCTGCCTCTTGGGAAAATGTTTTTGTCTCTCTGGGCCTTGGTTTTCACTGTTTAAAAAGAAGAATGAACTAGGATGATCCCTAAAGTCCCTTCCAGCTCCAAAATTCTAAATAGGGCCAGAAAGTCAAACCTGTTAACAATGTTTTGGCAATACCCTCCTAGTGAATATTTGTGTTGACAGATTACCACTCCCCAGAAGTAGATACTACATTAGTTTAACACCCTAGGATATTGCTATGTTATGTAACAAGATTGGTGGCTACTGTTTCTGTTTAAATAAAAGATAATGTTAGCAAAAGAGAACAAGCCTGGTGCAGTGGTTCAGAGAGAGATCTGAGGACCCCTGCCGGCCTGCTGTGTGTTTGCAGGGGACTGGAAGAGGCTATCAGACTGGTAGGATCAGGAGACAATAGAGCCAGCCAAGTCAACAAAAAATATTTAAGAAGCCTGATAATATCCCCTCCCAGTCAAAAGAGTCAAACATCCTGAGTTAAGTGAGAGTAAAGCAAAGTCGAAGGTGAAACAAACTAGTAAAAGCATCTCCTCTTCCTCTCTAAAAGCAAGCACTGCGGATTGTCTCTCAGTACACATTTACTCAGGGCCCATTATGTGCAGAATTTCCTGCTTGCCTTGGATGAGAGTACACATTCTAAATAATCTACTGAGAGGAGAGATGCTGAGGCCAATGGAGAGTGTGAGAATAGACAGATATTTATCCAATAAGGCAAAAAAGAGATGGCCCTGGTGGTGGGACCAGTTGGTTAAGTGTCCCACCCTTACACCACAAGGTGGTGAGTTCGATTTCTGATCAGGGCAAATACCTAGGTTGTAGGTTCAATCCCTGGTTGGGGCATATGCAGGAGGCAATTAATCAATGTCTCTGCCCCCCCCCTCTAAAAACAGAGAAAGAGAGAGAGAGAGAGATAAACAATTATTCAGATTTAGTTAAAGGGTTCTTTTTACAAAATTTTGAGAGATTCCTGGCCTCACAGGCAGGTTATGAGCCTGGCTTTGTCAGTGGCTCAGTACCATTGTCTTCTGTGAGGTCAGATTCATTCATTCCCAAAGCCTTTGTAGCCATTCTTTTCCCATCCTCTTTCTCCAATCTCATATTCCTTCTGTTCCCACATTGACATCACTACCACAAGGAACAAGGTCACTTTTATTTTTTTATTTATTAAAAAAAATTTTTTTTTCCTTTATTGATTCTAGAGAGAGAGGAAGGAAGAGGGAGAGAGAGAAACATCGATGAGAGAGAACATCGACTGGCCGCCTCCTGCATGCTCTGCCCACCCCCCCACCAGGGATTGGGCCCACAACCTGGGCATGTGCCCTGACTGGGAATCAAACTGGCAACCTCCTGGTGCATGGGTCAATGCTCAACTGCTGGGCCACACTGGCCAGGCACAAGGTCACTTTTTTTTTAATCCTCACCTGAGGACATTTTTCTAATTTTTTTTTTTTCAGATAGAGTAGGAGGGAGAGAGAGAGAGAGAGAGAGAGAGAAACATCCATGTGAAAGGGACACATTGACTTTTATGTGCTCATCTTATTCAGCCTCTTGTAGCATTTGACATGATTACATCTTCTTTTCCCTCACCCCTACACCAGTCCATCAGCAGGTACTGTCAGCTCTACCTCAAAATCTATATGTTTGCTCTGAAGATGTCTGTCTCTGCTGCTACCACCCTGGTCAGAGCCCCTAACAACATCTCTTGCCTCGAGTAAGCAACACCTCCCAACTGATCTCCTGCTTCCAATCTATTCTCTGCACAACAGCTGGATGGCACTTCTTCAAAACAACCTCTTTAGGATGCCCCACGAGGCCCTACTAACCCGCCTGCCGCTCTCTGGTCTTCCCCCATCACTCCTGTGCTCATGCTGTTCCAGTCAAGCTGGCTCTTTCTGTTCCTCATATACACCAGGCCTCGTCTGGTTACCCTGTTTGTATTTGCCTCCTCCAGAGAGTGTCCGCCTGACTACCCAGTCTCACATGTCTCCTGCCAAGGAACTCTCTCACACCTTCCCCCCACTTATTTCCTTCATAACCCAGATCGCTCTCAGAAGTTACCTCGTCATTCCCTCCCTTCCCCTGCTTCCCACCAGCCACCTCTTTTCCCTCTTCTCACCTTGTCTGTCTTCCTTTTCTTTCTCTCTCCCATCTCCCACTTTAATTAAATAAAATAAATTTAAAAAAATGAGTTACCTCGTTTATTTATTTGTTTCCAGTCCCATCCAGCTCTAAAGTGTAAACTCCATGAGAGCATCAGGGACGTTGTCTGTCTTGCTTCCTGTTGTATCCCCAGTGCCAAGAATCATGTGTGGCACTCAACCAATATGTGCTTGTGGAATAAAAGAACTGAACAAATGGGTGGATGTGCCTACTGCCTCACACCCTTGTCTGCAGCTTCTCCCCCCACACCCCCCTTCCCCTCCCTCTCTGCTCTTTCCTCTCCTCAGTCCATCTCAAAGCCTTTTGCTTGATGACAGTCCAGAGATCAGATCAAACGCCACTTCTTTGGAGGAATTTCCCCTAGCCTCCCTAGAACATTTAATTTTTCTCTTCTCAGTACCTTCCACAGCACTTTATTCATAGCTTTGTCGCATCACTCAACACTCTGCACTTCCTATTAAGAGTTATCTGTTATCCTTCCTCTCGGCCAGGCCCTCCTGGGATGGAAACTTAATCAGATCCTCTTTGTGTGTTCAGCACCTGGCACATGGTAGGCACTCCCTCAAGGTTTATATCTGTTGAATTCAGTAGGGATTTAAGCAGAAATGGATAGGGTCTAGCCTCTGGGTATACTGATCAAGAGATAGTAGTCTTACTTTGTAGTCTGAGAACATTAAATCGAAAGCTTCGGCATATGCTATAATAAAAGGAGCAAGCTACATCTTAAATCACAGTAGAGGGAAACGTCCTGAAGGCTAAAGCTGCTCGCATGACCACACCACCTGGGGAAGTCTTCCCCTCCACCCTGTGTGGGGAGGGGGAGCTGCTCCTGGCAGCCCTCACTGGACCCCTCCTCCCAGCTCCTCCCACAAGTCAAGTCCCAGGACATTATGTCACAAAGGAGGGGCTGGTGCCATCTTCCTGCAGACCAATCATGGTAACAGTGCTTTGTTTCTTTATGCACAATAAATAAATGCTTTCTCTGATCCTTGTCCAAGTCCCTCGTTTGCAGTCCTGAAAGTGGCCGATTATGTGCCTTTCAGACTGGACGTGGGCAAAGGCTGTGCCTCAGCCCTCCTGAACCTACCGGAACAAAGAAGCGGCTACCATTTATTGGGCACGCATTGTATACAAAGCAGTTTCCAGTCTATCTACTTGTAGTCAATGCTCAAAGCAACCTGCAAGATAGGTATTTCCCCATTTTAGAAGCTGATCCTACAGAAGTTCTACCCTGGTCTTTCTGGCTTCAGAACACATTTCTTTCTTCTACGCCACCAAAGAGTAAAAATGCTTCTTTCCTTTCTCTTTAAATATCCCAATCACCACCCTGGCTGGTTTGGC